TGGACGGGGCTCAGCAAGGGCAGGGCTGACACTGGCAGGAAGGAGCCTACAGCTACCATTTTGCAAGGGTCCCATCCTGAGTGCCAAGCACTGCCCAACCTAAACACCCCACCCCGTTCCACCCAAGTCCACAAGGGGGCCCTGAGGCACTGCCCCATCAGGTTAGCAGTGAGGTGGAGGCTCAGGGGCCTGGGTGATACGCCAGCGTCTCCCAGGTACAGGGGTAAGCCCACCCAAGTGTACCTAGACTGTGCCCTCCAAGGGCTTAAACGCACAGGCACACGTATGGACACATGTCCTTTCAGTCCAAGGGATTGAACGCACAGGCACACGTATGCACACATGTCCTTTCAAGCCTCCAGTCAAACACCCGCCCCCTCCTCCACCTCCAGGCCCTGAAACCAGAGCCCAGGTCCAGCCACCAGACACCTCTGGATGGAACATAACCTGGGGGCTGCAACTCGAAGCTGCCTCCCAGCCAGGTGAGCACTCTATGGCCACCGCCCGCCTGTGTCAGGAGGCCCTCTGTGCCCAGACGGCATGGTGCCTGTCAGCAGGGCTGGGCTACGTGCCCTGGGAAGCGCTCCACCTGTTATGATGGTCCAGGATGCCCAGAGCCCCAGTGCTCAGCCTGGGCTGAGCTTTTGGCCCACACTTTCCTGGGAGGTGGTTAGGCTCTGTCCCAGCCCAGACTGCTGCAAACTGTCCTATTCACAGATGGGATGGGACCTGATGACACCATCCTGGTGCTGACTGGGCAAGGTGTCCTTTCCAGGAAGCCTGCCTAGGAGCAGGGACCCGGGGGCATGCATGCCTGGGAGACCACGGGGTGGAGAGGGCTGCAAGTGGACCTCACTTCTGGCTGGCGCCCAGGACATCCAGGATGTTGGAGAAGAGGTGGTGGTGCTCCATCTGTGTCATGGTTGACCGCAGGGCCCTGGACTCCAGGAACTCGGCCACCAGGATGCTCAGGCTGTGCTGGTAGGAGAACTCAGACGTGAGGATCTCGAAGATGGCCTGTGTGGGAGGAGAGATGATGTGGCATGGCCTCCTGAAGAGGGGTTTGGATGAGTCGCCTTTGCTGCAGAGGAGGCTGGGGTCAGGCATGCTTAGGCCGAGAGGATACGCTCTGGGAGGCGGGGCTTGTGTGGACGCCGGCCACTGGACAGGCACCCTAGACAGCCCAATGTCACTGGGCTTGCTCTCTGGCTTGGTTAGAGCTATGTGACACTGGGCAGGATGAGGACTTGTGTCCCCATTGGAGGAGATGTAATGGTAGCCTCCCACCCTGGGGCTGCCTTAAAGACAGGGTGCAAGGTGACACAGGGGGCTCAGATGGCTCCTGGCACAGGCTAAAGGCACACACACATCAGCCTTTATGACAGTGCCTGGCCTAGGGGGTGGCCAATGGGTAGGCAGTATCACCGAGGCTGTTGTCCCCTCCCATCCCACTGGGTTCTCATGGCACACACTGTGGCTACAGGACAGCATCCTGGCTCAGCACTTACCTCCTGCCTCTTGCGCTCCTCAGGGGGCAGCTTGTCCAGGATGCCTGACTCCAACACCTGGGGAGGGCACAGGCCTGGGTGGTTATGGCTACACATCTTGGAACCTGTGGCCAAGGTCTTCACTGGCCCCACTGTCCTCCCCCTACCAGGCCAGAGCCGATGCAGAGTACACAGCCGCCCAGAGGAGGCTGAGCCACCCTTCCATGGAATGCCTGTGGCTGGTGGGCCCCTCAGTGATGTCAGCCTGCTGAGCTGGCCTGCTTGGTCCTGTCACCTTCCTCTTCCCCTCTGTCGAAACCTCTGGGGGCAGCCTCTGAGGCACTCTTGCCCCTAAGTCCCTCCCTGGCCGATGGAAAGGCACAGAGCCTACCCAGGAAGGGACAGTGCAGGAGCAGAGCCGTGACTCAGACACCTGCTGGGCCAGGTGAGTTGGCTCTGTGCCCAGGACGGTGCGGGTGACTGTCGGCATGGTGCTCTCGGGGCCTGGGAGCCACGACTGTGGGTTATCTTGGCAAGAGCATGGATCTCTCAGGCTACTGCATGCCAGAGCTCTGCCATGTTGCCTAGGGTTCCCGTTCTGTAGGACCCAGGGCCACCCTGATTCCTGTTCTCCTTACAGGGCCAGGAAGAGGCTAACATCCCATGTCTGATTCTTCCCAAACTTGGGCAGACTGGGGTTAGTATCTCTGGTAGTGTTACCAGGACATAGTGTCCTGGAGCCTGGCACACACCAGGGGGAGATCACACACACACAGTCCCTAGCTTGGGAATAAATATACAGTCTAGACCCTCCTATCCATTGAGAGGCAGCCCCTGGCCTGTCCTCATCCTCACACAGTCCTCCCTGATTGGGTGGGAGTCTGACAGTATGCCATAGCATGGAGCAGGGTGGGTGGTCACAGAGCTGCAACCCTCACCCCGCCCCCCCAGGGGATGGCAGACAAGGCATCCCCTTGTACTGCAGATGAAGGAAGAGCCAGGCCTACCCTCCCTGCTGCCTGCCACACCCACCGCCATGGCAGCTCCCTTCCCCAGCGCTCAGAGGGCAAGGGGGCCACATGTCTGTTCAGCTGTGGCCATCTGCCCACTCCTGGGGTAGTGGCCACCTCCCTGGTACACTAGCCACTGTCTGAGCCTCACTCTCCACTGAGAGCCTCAGAGGCTCATAGGGCAGGGACAGGTCCCCATTTTCAGATGCAGAAAGTGGGAAGGGGTGGCCTGGCCCTGCACATGACCCTAAGCCCTAGGGGAGTCTCTGTCCCCTGAGCCCCACTGCCTCTTCACACTGACCCTCTCAGATGTTTCCTGGTGATAGGGCCCTGGGAAGGGGATCCCTCATGCCCACAGCACCCTACATGTCAATGTGAGCAGGGATGTTATTACAAGCTTGAAGGTAGGAGACAGACTTGCGTGATCCCTGAGTCCAGTCCAGCACAGCAGGGCGGCTCTGAGGGTACAGGAGGGAGACCTCACGCAAGCCAGGCACAGATGAGGGGCTGTGGACCCAGAGAACCTGGCCACCTGCATAGCTCAGGGAAGAAATGGCCTTGGGCCTCTTGTGGGCCCTGCCTGCCAGTCTCCCTGAGCTTCACCGTCATCCTGGCCTACCTCTGGCAGCTGGCTCCAGGTGATCTGGGCAGGCCGGTAGTTCTTGACCACGATGGTGTCCACCTTCCGGGCTCTGTCAGGGCTGGAGGAGTCATCAAGCAAATCGTCGTCTGACTCGTGGCTGGTGTTCAGGCCCCGCTCTCGGATCTCCTGGTAGAGCTGGGGGTCTGGAAAGGGGAGAAGTGTTACCTGTGAGCCTGGAGGCTCAGAGGAGGCCTGTCCTCCCTGGAACCCACAGGCTGAGCCCTCCTGAGGGCCCCCAGGACCTCCCCAAGAGCTTTGGGCAACATAAGGCCCCCCAGGACAGGCTGCCCCCATGCCTGTTTGCTCCACTGGCTGTGCAAGCTGAGCCAGGAGAGGGTGGCAGTCCCGTGTGGAATTTGGCGCCTTCAGAACAGGGCTGTGCCGGCAAATCAGAGCACCAGCATGGCCAGCCATGCCTGGCCTCAGGCACAGACTGTGGGTGGGGGTGTCCCCAGGCTGGGCCTGAGGGTACTAGTGTCTTTTCCCATGAGCCCGTCCATACTTTAAGCCCCACCTGGGATGGCTGGCTGCCATTTCAGGGTGCCAAGCATCCTCATGTCAACTCCCCATGCCTCTTCCTGAATTGTGGGGTATAGCTGCTGCTATCTATCTGGGGGAACACTTTCCCCACAAATTTTTGCAGAAGAGGCCAACCTCCACTTCTGGGCTCATGGGTGTCCACAGAGCTTCTGGGGGCTGGCAGGAAAAGAGGGCCCTTCCTGGCTGAAGCTGCTATGTCTTGGAACCTCTGGACAAAGGTTAGGCCGGGGCCAGGCACTGGAGGCCCAAGGGCTTCTGGGTCTCACTGCCTCCAACATCCTCATACCCCCAGGGTGCTCTGTCCTAGCTAGCCAGGCACCCTTCCTTTGATTACCAGGGGTAGCCACTGTCTGAGCCTCACTCTCCACTGAGAGCCTCAGAGGCTCATAGGGCAGGGACAGGTCCCCATTTTCAGATGCAGAAAGTGGGAAGGGGTGGCCTGGCCCTGCACATGACCCTAAGCCCTAGGGGAGTCTCTGTCCCCTGAGCCCCACTGCCTCTTCACACTGACCCTCTCAGATGTTTCCTGGTGATAGGGCCCTGGGAAGGGGATCCCTCATGCCCACAGCACCCTACATGTCAATGTGAGCAGGGATGTTATTACAAGCTTGAAGGTAGGAGACAGACTTGCGTGATCCCTGAGTCCAGTCCAGCACAGCAGGGCGGCTCTGAGGGTACAGGAGGGAGACCTCACGCAAGCCAGGCACAGATGAGGGGCTGTGGACCCAGAGAACCTGGCCACCTGCATAGCTCAGGGAAGAAATGGCCTTGGGCCAAAAGTGGGCCCTGCCTGCCAGTCTCCCTGAGCTTCACCGTCATCCTGGCCTACCTCTGGCAGCTGGCTCCAGGTGATCTGGGCAGGCCGGTAGTTCTTGACCACGATGGTGTCCACCTTCCGGGCTCTGTCAGGGCTGGAGGAGTCATCAAGCAAATCGTCGTCTGACTCGTGGCTGGTGTTCAGGCCCCGCTCTCGGATCTCCTGGTAGAGCTGGGGGTCTGGAAAGGGGAGAAGTGTTACCTGTGAGCCTGGAGGCTCAGAGGAGGCCTGTCCTCCCTGGAACCCACAGGCTGAGCCCTCCTGAGGGCCCCCAGGACCTCCCCAAGAGCTTTGGGCAACATAAGGCCCCCCAGGACAGGCTGCCCCCATGCCTGTTTGCTCCACTGGCTGTGCAAGCTGAGCCAGGAGAGGGTGGCAGTCCCGTGTGGAATTTGGCGCCTTCAGAACAGGGCTGTGCCGGCAAATCAGAGCACCAGCATGGCCAGCCATGCCTGGCCTCAGGCACAGACTGTGGGTGGGGGTGTCCCCAGGCTGGGCCTGAGGGTACTAGTGTCTTTTCCCATGAGCCCGTCCATACTTTAAGCCCCACCTGGGATGGCTGGCTGCCATTTCAGGGTGCCAAGCATCCTCATGTCAACTCCCCATGCCTCTTCCTGAATTGTGGGGTATAGCTGCTGCTATCTATCTGGGGGAACACTTTCCCCACAAATTTTTGCAGAAGAGGCCAACCTCCACTTCTGGGCTCATGGGTGTCCACAGAGCTTCTGGGGGCTGGCAGGAAAAGAGGGCCCTTCCTGGCTGAAGCTGCTATGTCTTGGAACCTCTGGACAAAGGTTAGGCCGGGGCCAGGCACTGGAGGCCCAAGGGCTTCTGGGTCTCACTGCCTCCAACATCCTCATACCCCCAGGGTGCTCTGTCCTAGCTAGCCAGGCACCCTTCCTTTGATTACCAGGGGGGTTGCTATTGCTGCTCCATCCCTCCACAAGTTATGGGGTACATGGGGTCCTCCCAAGGCCCAGCCATCACCTAGTCCCTCCAGTGGCCCTCAAACCAGGCTCCCCTTTAACCTGAAAGAATCTGGGCAGAGCACACAGCACTGGCATATGTACCTCCTGAGGTCAACACCCTCTGATGTAGTTTTGGTCCCACTGGCATGGCCACTATGAGCTACTAGCATACATATGGGACACTCGGTGAGAGTGTCCGTCTCCTGCCCTTGGAAGCACACGGACAGGTACCTGAGGGAACTTTCTACACCTTTCTAGCTCTGTTAGAAATGCACAATCAGACCAGTAAGTGAGACCTCAGTCCCTTACAGGATCCTAGCAAACATATCCTTCCAGCCACCAAACCCAGACATACTCCATCCTCCAGGATCGCCCCAGTGAGACCAGCTTCATCGAGGGCCAACCCCAGCCATCGGCCACCTCCTGAAGTCACTTACCATCCTTGAAGGAGCCCTTGTGTGCACGTTTCCGCCCCAGTGTCTTCTGAGCAAACAAGAGAACCAGAAACACCAGCAGTTAGTGGGAGGAGGGGGTGGAGGTCTGCAGCGCTACTGCCACCCTGGAGCCCAGAAACCTCATGGCTAAACACGCAGAGCTGCTCCCAGTGCCAGCAAGCTCTGCAGGGCACAGAGAAGGTGCTCAACAAACATCACCACAAGACTGAGAGCAGTTGAGCAGACCCCAAGAAACGCGAGAGAGGGTGGAATGGTGGTTCAGAGGAGGCAGGGAAGATGACTGAGGGCTGGACAGGTCCTGGAGGGTTGCCTAGAGGAGGAACGGTTGAACAAGTTGAGAAGGGATGCTCGAAAGAGTGGACGTGGGACTGGGAGTTATAAGTGTGCTGGAGCGAAGCCTGAAGCAGGTGTGGCGGGACAGGGCCAAGAAGGGACACAGGGCCCCTCAGAAATCAGGACCTGGGGTAGCAAGAACAGGGACTGACTGGCTAGTGTCCAACATCAGCCTAGGAGTCCTAGTGGCTAAAGGACGAGGTGGTAGAGGGGACTGGAGGGTAGGGTTCTCTGGAAGCCCCTACTCTTGGCTGGCCCCCCTTCCCCATTGTGGCTGGGACACATAAACTTCCCTGACCTCACGGCAAGCTGATTCCAGGAAAGCAGGGGCTGGTTTCCTGAACTAGTTGCGACCTGAAAACTCCCCTTCCTGTTTGGGAACCTGTGGCGCTCCCAGCTGTAGCTGGCCCCGCACCCACAGCCCTGTACCCTCAAGCCCTTTATCACACCTGGAGGCCTTCCCAAGCACCCCACCCCTACCTCTCTCAGCCCCTCCTCCACCTGGTCCTCCCTTTGTCCTGCCTCTGCTTTAAGCTCTCCTTGCTCAGAGGCTATAAGTAACCACCTCTGTGCTCCCTCTGTCCCAAGCTGTCCCCAGCCAAGCCCTCTGCACCCCCCACACCCAGGGAACTCTCTGAGAATAGGGACCATGCCCAGTGGGCTCCCCTTGATACCCCAGCACAGGACACATAGTGTGTGCTCAGGAAATGTTAGTTGAATGCATGAATGAGCAGGGATGAATGTGTGGATGAATGCATGTTGAGACCCCTTCAGGCCTGGTTGGGTTCAGAGTGCCAGGCCTGGGGTATAGGGACCCACAGCAGAAGTCTGGAGGCAGTCTCTGGGAGGACCCAGGACAGTGGCTGGCACTACGGACACAGGGGCCCCACCTCAGCCACCAAAAGCCTCCAATGGAAGCTTAAACCCTTGGGCATGTACTGGGTGGCCATCATTTGACAGGTTTAGCTTCTCCTGAGCCGAGGGCATAGGAGCCAGGATGGCAACCCATGGGAGGTGCAGGTGCCATGTAGGCACAACCTTCCTGCAGACGCGGTCTTCTTGTGGACTTGGGCTTTTAGCAACCGAGGCAGTGTTCTATTCTCTTGAGGGTGCCGAAATAAAACCACTGTTATTCCCACTTACACCTGGGGAAGTAGAGGCTCAGGAAGGCTCTGGGACTAGCCCGGGGTCACACAGCAATACAACCCTCAGCCTAGGCCATTCCTCAAGCACATTTTGCCAATGTGCCCAAAGCTGCTTTCTGGACGAGTCTGAGCAAAACACCCAACAACAGAGGTGCCCAGGCCAAATCTGCTTCTGTCTGCACATCTGAGGAAGGTAAGGGCTCCCAAGCTGTCCAAGAAACTTCGATGTTGTCCCTGGCCCCCGCCTGCCTCCCATACCTCACCCCTTGCCTGGCTCCTGACCCGCCAGGTAAAGAGAGGTGGCAGTGTGGCAGAGCCCCAGTCCTGGCCAGGTGGGTACCTAAATGCCCCCTGAACATGCTCTGTGGCTACCTGCAGCAGAGGCCCCGCTCCAGCCACAGGAAACAGTGATTCAAGGGGTAAGGCACACTGGGCCCACGGCACACCGCCCCCTACTCTTGGGGATAATCAAGAGTAGAGCCTTCCAGAGAGCCCTACCCTCCAGTCACCTCCACCACCCCGTCCTTCATGTATGTATCCCCTTGGGCCTCAGTGACAGGACAGTCTGGATTGCATCATTGCCGGGGAAAGGTGTGTGGCCACCACACCCCAGCCCTGGAGCCACCAACCACAGGCAGGGTACAGGAGGTGTGGTGTACAGGGTGTACTCAGACTCCCTGAGCAAGATTGGCTGTGCAGCTGCCCCGCCCAGTCCTGGTCGGCGGCCCCTCAGGCAGGAGGACACCAGGTCAGTCCCTACTGCAAAGACATCATCAAACCTATGATTCAGATAGGCTGGTTCTTGCTTGGAGCTCACGGGAAGGGGGGCTGGGGGGGCTGGTCCTTCCCTTAGTCTCTGTTCCTCACTCGGGCTGGGGACTAGGACACAAAGCTAAGCCTTTTTGAGCCTCAGCTGCCTCCTCTGTAAAATGGGACGCTTCACAGCTCAGCCGTGGTGGTCCACAGGTAGCAGAACCAAGTGGGGACCTGATTTGGTTCCAGGGCCAAAGTGCAGTTGCCCGCGTCTGTAATTACAGCTCACTGGGAGGAGGGGCGGGAGGATGGCAACAGCATTCTGCCCACCACCCCTTCTCTCTCTCGTCTGTCTCTCACCCTGCTCGCCTGTCTGCCCACCACCCCTTCTCTCTCTCGCCTGTCTGCCCACCCCTCCTTCTCTCTCTCATCTGTCTGCCCACCTCCCCTTCTCTCTCACTCGCCTGTCTCTCACCTCCCTTCTCTCTCTCATCTGTCTCTCACCTTCCTTCTCTCTCTCGTCTCTCACCTCTCTTCTCTCTCTCGCCTGTCTTTCACCTCCCCTTCTCTGCCCACCTCCCCTTTCTCTCGCCTGTCTCCCACCCCCTTCTCTCTCGCCTGTCTGCCCACCTCCCTTCTCTCTCTCTCTCTCAGCAGGTGATGTGGTGGTTAAAGTGGGTGGATTCCCACATGGTCAGCCATGGTTCAAGTCCCGGACACAGCAACCTGAAAATCATACCGGATATATGTGCATGCGTGCCCAAGAATGCAGGAGGAGAGTGGATGAGAAGGGATTGCTGTGTGGCCATCCCCTCTAGGGGGTGATTTCTTACCTTCCTTCTCATTGGCCCTCCAGGCTAGCTCACTCGCACCAAGGCACAAATCCTTAAAACACACACACACAAAGGAGACATTCACGGTCACAGCCTGGCCATTGGGCTTGACTAGAATAAACCAGTCCAGAGCTTGCACATGGTAGTGAGGTAGTGCAGGAGCCTAGGTGCAGATGACAAGAGAGGGCAGGCCACCTCTCTCCTAGGAGCTCCTGAGCCACTAGAGCCACAACCCCCTAGGTGGGTAGCCCTTACCTTATTTTTGGCTGGACTCCGAGCAGGTGGCTGGCGGGGCTCCTCTGCCAGAGCCTGGAGCTTGGGGCTGAGCTGGATGGGGTCTCCCTGACCACCTGGCATCCCCGGGTCCCTCATGGCTGCCCTGTAGGACTGGTTCCGCAGGTTTCGCCTCAGCAAACCCCCAGGGCCCATGTCCATGTCCATGTCGTCCCTCGAGAAGCTGGGGGTCGAGGGAAGCTGGGGGCTCCGTCGGGCAGCCTCCTTGCTGAGCACGGCCGCTCCAAAGCTCTGGTGCCGGAGTGGGGTCTTTGCCTTGCTGGCCACAGCCAGGCCCCTGGGGATCAGCTGCTGAGTGCCCATCTTGAGGGCTGCAGGGCTCTGTGTGCTCAGGACAACAGGCCGCGGCTCCTCTTCCACCGGGGCCTCAGGCTGGAAAGCTGCATTGACCCTGGCCTGCAGGGAGGTCCGGACCACCGGGAGCCCAGGCGCTGGGTTCCCATTGGCATCGAGCTGCAGCTCTGAGTGGAAGCGGTATTCCAGGAGCTTCTCCTCCAGGGAGCTGTCGGAGTGCCGCTGGGACATCTGGATAGTTGCAGGGTCCTGCAGGGAAGGGCAGAAGTGAGGGGCTCCTGAACGTATCTCTCACTTGTCCCTCTCGGGTGTCCACCCTGCCCGCACTTTAGCCTCTGCTGGGATAGCTCCCAGGACATGGCACGAAGAGGACCCTGACACAGTTGGGAGGAGAGCCTGTTGGTGGCACAGTCCTGACCACCAGGAGGGAGGTCCGAGGGACGGCCTCATATCACCTCCAGCTAGGGACTGAAAAAGGGCACTTGCTGGGACTGAGGCAGACAGCAGTGCTCTGGGCTCTGGGTGGCCAGTGATTAAGCATCCTGGGGGGGAGGCTGGGCATGGGAGGGCAGCACACACGGGAGACAAAGTCCTGGACGAGAGGGCAGTTGAGGGTCCTGGGTTACAAAGAATCTTCACCTGACCTGGGACACAGCAGGAGTCAGAAATAAAGGGGAATGCTTAGTAAGCCCTTCTTGCGGCTGCTCCCCACTGCAGCTCCACGTAACTCACCCTGACCGTTCGCTGCAGCCGCATGTAGCTCACCCTGACCGCTCGCCGCCGCAGCCCCACGTAGCTCACCCTGACCGCTCGCTGCGGCCGCCCGCAGCAGAGCTCACCCTGACTGCTCGCCACTGCAGCCCCACGTAGCTCACACTGACCACTCGTTGCTGCGGCCCCACATAGCTCACCCTGACTGCTCGCCGCCGCAGCCGCATGTAGCTCACCCTGACCGCTCGCTGCAGCCGCACGTAGCTCACCCTGACTGCTCGCCACTGCAGCCCCACGTAGCTCACACTGACCACTCGTTGCTGCGGCCCCACATAGCTCACCCTGACTGCTCGCCGCCGCAGCCGCATGTAGCTCACCCTGACCGCTCGCTGCAGCCGCACGTAGCTCACCCTGACTGCTCGCCGCTGCAGCCCCACGTAGCTCACGCTGACTGCTCATCGTTGCGGCCCCACGTAGCTCGCTCTGACCGCTTGCTGCGGCAGCCCCATGTAGCTCACTCTAACTGAAGGCACCTTATGCAGCCAACATGGGAACAGGACCACTTCTAAGGCTCACGGGCATCAGCTTCTGTGCACTGACCAGTCCACTCTGAGGATCTACCTTCCCAGGGCCACCTTCTGCTGTTCGAGGACTCCCAATTGTCAGGAAGTAGTCCTGCCTGGGGCATGTGGAAATCAGATGTCACCAGGGAGCAAGTGATGGCATATTGGTTACTCAGTTTTAAAATCTGCAAAATGGCCCTATTAATAATGCCAACCTTCTGAGGGAAATGTAAGGGTCAACAAGTTCAGATGTGTAAACGTTTTAAAGCGAGGCCTGGCTGGCCACGGGGGCTACATCAGCAGTTTGCAGAGGCCATGCAGAAAGGACAACCTTGCACTCCTTGGGCTATCCTCATAAGCAGAGAAGGTGCCATAGCTTAGGGCAACTTTGTAGGGTCAAAATGTAATTCAGAGATGGGGCTGGCAGGTGATGTGGTGGTTAAGGGTGCTGGACTCACACATGGCTGACTGTGGTTCGAGTCCCGGACCTGGTGATTTGCTTTCTCACTTTCCCTTTCTCTCACTCTGTCCCTTTCTGGTAAAATTAAAATAATAAAGTTAAATAAAATAATTCTTTAAAAAAATATAACTCAGAGAAAACACATTCCTGGGACCAGCAGTTAGCGTAATGGCTATGTTGCTGGACTCCCATGTAGTCAACCACGGTTCGAGTCCCGGACCTGGTGACTTAAACTCATGCCGGGTATGCGTGCGTGCGTGCCCAAGATCCTGAGAGGAGAATAGAGGAGAAGGGATTGCGGCGTGACCATTCCCCCTAGGGGGTGATTTCTTGCTTTCTGTCTCTCTGTCTTTCTGGCGAGCACATGCGCCCTATAACAAAAACCTCTTCAAAAAAAAAAAAAAGAAAACACACTTCTTTGATTTTTCCCCCTTAGTTTCTTTTTAAATTAAATTAAATTAATTATTATTTCTTTTTAATGTAACCAGAGGAAGACAGAGAGAGGAAAAGTGAAAATGCAAGCCACCAGGTCCGGGACTCAAACCATGGTCGACCATATGGGAGTCCAACACCTTTAGCCACCACACTACCTACTCCCCTTTAGTTGTTATAAAGACAAGAATAGCCACCATGTATGTGCCTCTTATATACCTAGGACTTATATATGTTAAAATTACAAGAGCCTTGGGAGGGAGAGTGGGAGCCCATTTTGCAGGTAGGAAAACAAGGCCCAAGGTCACCTGCCCAAGTTAGGAGGGAGGTCCCGGGCTCAGATCCGGGTCACAGTGCTACCTTGTTTTCCCCGCACATCTGGAAAAGAAGGTTGACCTTAGCAAGTATTAGCAACTCTCTCTCACCCCAGCAAGATGTCGTAGCTACAGGTGACCATGGCTATGGACAGGCTCAGGGCCTCTGGAGTTGAGAGTTCCCTAGGCCCTGGGGAAACTACCACCTACCCTGGAATCACCAAGGGTCTCAGCTCCCAATCCCCCTCACACACTCGCTGCCCAGTCCTGGGTGCTGGCCCAGGCAGTCTGAGCTTCTGCCTATGAATCCCTTTCTGAAGACCCACTGGGAAGGGCTGGCCACACACTGACCTCAGTCGGCACCCTTGCTGGAACTCCCAGGGCACTCAGGGAGCTTGGCTCTGTCTCTGCTAACACAGAAACCACTAAGCTTTCCCAGGTCACACGCTGTCTGCTGAAACCATCCCCGGAAAGCATGTAAGCTGAGCCTAGGGACGGGCTGCCCCTGGATCCTTGGCTGCCCCCACACAGGAGGGCACATTCCTTAGGACATTCCACATCACCCTGCTGAGAACAACAGCAGCCACCCAGGCCTCCCCCAGGAGCCTGACTCCTTGGTGTTAGCAAGGGTCAGGGAGTCTGCACCATCCCAGGACCAGCGCTCCCCATGCTGGGCCTAGTCGAGAAGTCAGTTTATGTTAATCTACGTGTATACACACCAAGTGGAGCGCACCCCAGGGGCAGCAGAAGACACTGAGCTCCTGTACAGCCTTCTCTTCTAAACGTGATTTATTTACCTTGGAGGCATTTTACACTGTTATACTGAAAGGTCCACACCCTTACTGTGTCTGTCTCCCACCAGACAAATGCCCCCAGCGCCCACCTTCTCAGGGAACTGTGAAGAGTCCCCCATACGCAGAGCCCCTGCCCACCCTCTCCTCGTCCATCCTTCCTCTCTCACAGGCCTCCGTCTGCCCTGCTGGGGCTCCAGGCTGCCATCTCTGACCCCTTCTTCTGGGCCAGTGTCCCAGACCAGGCAGGTGACACCACCTATAGCTAGTGGCAGCCCTTCCTAGGAGAGGGCAAAGTCTGCTCCAGGGACCAAAGGAACCTGTCGGGCGAGCCACCACCGGGTGTAACCTCTGTTCTCAGCAAGGCAGCCACACCCATAGGCCTGGAGCACCACTAGCCTGGGACCCAGGGTCTAAAGAATAGCGGGCACTCACCCAGGGGCGTGGGCAGCTGCCCCCAACTCAGTAGGAGCCAGCTCTTGGGAGCTGTGGCTGTCTTCTTTGCCTTATCATGAAAGCCAGGTACTCCCCACTCCAAGCTGGCCTCCCTCGGAGGCCACCACTCTGGGCTCTTCAGTTGTCCTCCAGTTCCTAAATGAGGCCTAGCCTGCTCTCTGGTGGTCTCCCAACCTTGGGCCTTCCCTATCCTCTCCTGTCTCGGGGAGGCTCCAGGCACAGTCACACTGAGCCCCACAGATGCTGAGGCCTCCCAGCCTCTTGTTAATGATTTCCTCTGCTTTCACCACAGCTTGGTTTTTTGCCCGTTAATTTTCCCCAAGGGTTCCAGCAGTTCTACTATATGCTTCTTGAGAATGTGCTCCATATGTCCAGCATATCAGTTTCGTGTTTTTCCCAGAGACCCTCTGTCCCCCTGCTCACGAGGGCCAAGAGCTCCACAGGCTTAGCTTCGGATGGGCCCTGGGACCTCCTTTTACTGCTTTCTGGAGCTAGAAGTTTGTCAGCCAAGTGCAGGCCCCTCCCCTGCTTTATTCCCTCACTGAGGGAGTGGCATGGGAGGCATATTTTTAATTGCCTGAAAATTGCTTTTCTCTACCTCTCCCTTGACTGGTAACTAGGATGAGTTTAGAGTTCCCATTGGAGATTATTTTCTTGTAGAATCATGAAGCATTCTTCCCTTGTCTTAGGTGTTGCTGGAGAGGCATCCTGACACCATTACAATTTTCCTTCCTTGGATTACCCCAGTGCCCCACTCAACTCTGCTGAGCCTTTGGGGCTTCCCATTGTAGCCTAGAAGTTCTGAGTTGACTGAGCCAGGTTCTTGGTGGAACTCTCAACCTGGTTACTACTGTCTCTTAGGTCTATACATATTTTAGGATTAATCCTTCAGTAATTTCTTCTACTCTGTTTTTTCTTTCTGGAATACTCATTAATAAGTATTGAAATCACTGGAATTTTCTGCAGATTTCTTAACTTCTATCTCCTTTGTGGGAGATTCCTATTGCTTAGTCTTCTAATCTTTCCATCAGACATTTCAATATCCTACAAAATGCTCTTTCTTTACTCTTTATTCATAGCATCCTGTTCTTGTTTTATGCATGCAACATCTTCTGTTATCTTAAAGGATAACCATTATATTTTCTTTTCAACAAGTTTCTCTCTGTTGTCTGACTGCCTGAGCCTTGATTCTCTCTCTCTCTCTTTTATTTTTTTTCGAGAGGTTATTTTTTGCTATAGGTGTGTGCGCTCGGCAGGAAGAGAGATACAGAGAGGCAGAAAGTGAGAAGTCACCCCCCAGGGGGGATGGCCACACCACAATCCCTTCTCCTCCATTCTCCTCTCAGGATCTTGTGCACACATGCACACATGCCTGGCGTGAGTTTAAGCCACAGGGTCCAGGACTTGAACCGCAGTCGACTACATGGGAGTTCAGTGACATAGCCACTATGCTAACTGCTCGTCCCCTTGAGCCTTGATTCTCTAAATACACTCTCTTTCTTTGTCTCAGCCTCTGTTTTCTCGAGGCTTTCCTCAAACAACTGCTGGTGGTTGCTGGCTGTCTATTTCTTTTATTTAGGAGAAAGACACTATGCTGGTGGGAGACCCAGGTGCACCCACCAGTGAGCAACATGTCTGTCCTGGTGGGCTCACAGCACTGCTGTCCCTCTACTCTCCAGGCCCACCAATCTCATCCCTATGCCTGTATCTGGTGGCCTGTCCTCCAAGCTGGCTGATTTCTGCAATGGTCACTTTCAGTTTCCTCTCTGGAATACTGACCCACACTTTGTTGGTGCCAACAAAGGGCAGGGGCCAGTACTCAGACTTTCCTTCCAGCTGCTTCCAGGCAAATCTTGTCTCACTGTCTAGGCAAGAGCATCAGTAAGAGAGGTCAGATACCCTGCAGTGGCCACACGGACCATAGAGGTGGATTTGCTCCTGAGCAGCCCCGATTTGCTGAGCAGAAAGCCTTTCCGAAAGCTCCTCCAAGGGTGCATACAGTAGTGGCAACTACAGACTGTGTTCCTCCATCTTCCCAGGAAAGCGTGGGCCCTTTGGGGACAGGGACACTTTATTGTTCATGTCCTCACAAACATTTGGGCTTAATTCTTCATTTTGGCACTTTCTCTGCCCTGGCCTCTTACCTTAATTTTGTGCCTCCCTGGAGAGGTCTTGGTATTTCCCGACAAGAATAACCTGCATGGGACTCTGCATAAGTGGGCAGAAACTGGGCCAGGGCAGCCCCGGAGAGGTTTTCAGGTCCACCTATGCCCCTTTTTTTAATGACCTCCTGTTGTATCTGCTCAAAGTGAGCTGGGAAGAACCCCCCACAGTTGAGCCCCTGGGAACTCCAGCATTCGATTTTCCCTTTGCCAATGAACAGCTTACCCAGCATCCCCAGTGCATGTGCCAGGGTTGGCGGCCCGAGTGCCTGGCAGGAGGATCCCGCAGGGGTAAGCAGGTAGTATCGGGTGAAGTTTCTGGGCCATCTCAGGTGGTCACACTCAGCCTGGTCAATCCTGGCTTGTACTTGGCCTCACCTGGCTTGCTGCATCTAAGCTGGGTGGACTACTCTGCTACCCAGTCCTCCAGCTCCCTTGTTTTACCTGAGACTCCAGAGGGCACCAACATTGTCCCTTCTGGCTCCCATGTGACCACAACCTCCCAGCCTGGCTCTGGCTATTCTCATGGCCACTGGGACTCAAACTGCCCTGAATTTGGGGCCTGCCACACACCCCCCCCACACACACAGACACACACATTAGGACCACATGGGTTTCCATCACCTGCTCCGAGGCAGCCCCACTCTTGGAGCACCGCTGTCCCTCTACCCTCTGGGTCCACTTATTCCTCCCTGCCTGGTGGGGCTGGGCTCTCCAGCACCTGCTCATTGACCTCAGTCTCTGCTCAGGCAGGCTCACCACAATGATGTCCTTGTACTTGGGTAATTCTGTCTGACCAAGCGTGGCATTTGGAGTCACACATTATTTAGGGGCAGGATTTAGCTCCGTCATCCACACAAGACACGATAACCAGTTCCATTTGCAACTTGGCTAGAGGCTAAATTCAGTAGCTCTCAACCTGGGGCTGTTTTGCCACCTAAGGGACACTTGACAATGTCTGGGACATTGCTGGTGGTCACAAGGTACTAGCACCTCAAGGAGTGAGGCCAGGGATGCTGTGAAACATCCTACCGTGCGCAGGACAGGCCACACAACAAAGAATTTCCTGGGACAGATGTCCGCAGTATGGGCATCGCTAACTAGAGAGCCGCCCTTCACAGTGTGGGAGGCGGACACAGCCCGGCTCAGTTGGCAGCACCCACCCTTTACTTCCGGCTCCCATCTCTGAATCCAGACATCCCATAATCCTGGCTGGCCTGGCACTGGTGGGGTTTCCCCAAAGAAGCAGCAGACCAGAGGATCAGAGTCCTGTACAGGTACCTGGACAGGTGACAGGTGTCCTGCTGCCCCCACTTACCATCTGGGGGACAATGCCCCCACATGTCTTCTCACCCCATGTCATTAGTCCTGTTCCAAACTTGTGCAGGGTGGGTATTTTCCCTCCTGACAGGTGGGAAAAACCAGGTGCAGAGGAGGGCGGACAACCAGTCAGGCCCCATCCTGACATAGACGACTGTCCCCAACAAGAAACTGGGTGAGCAGGGATTTGGGACTTGCCTATGCAGTTACTAGACATGAAGATGCTGCTCTAGGTGGTGGAAGTCAGCCAAGCACGGTAAGTGCCACAGGCTAATGGGACAAGTGACTGAGATCTATCCAGAAACCAAAACTAAAACCTCAAGGCTGTGTCTCAATTAAACCATGAACTCGGACTGCCATCTTGGGGCCAGCAGACTCCGTGTTTCCACATCCCTTCACCTCCATGCTTCAGTTTCCTCAGGTGTAGGTGGAGAGCGCTTCCTGTGTGGGTAGGTCATGCGAGTCGGAGAAGGCCCTTGCCGAGCCAGAGCACTCAGGTACACCCTCCCAGCAAAGGTTCGTCCCCTGCAGGTGTTCAGCGAGAAGTCAGACATCTCTTTTTCCAGGAGACTTCTGTCCAACGGACTTAGACCTTACTTCTTCCAGGAAGCCCCCAAGGCCCCCTCACTTCCTGTTGCTTCTTCCCACCAGGACTCGGCAGCCTTCCACCCCTGCTCTGGGTGGTGCTTGGATCTGGCCCTTGGTTTCTCTTCTGTGGGCAGGAGACAGCAGAACAGCAGGAACGCTGTAGCCTTGGTCCAGAACAAGAGCTTAGCAGCAGCTGCGTCAACACCCTCTAACAGGGCACTCCTGTTACTCCCATTTTACACATAAGGAAACTGAAGCTCCCTGGGGGCAAACTTGCCTTAGTTCACATGTAGCCAGGATTTGAACCTAGAACCCACACACCACAGAGGTGCTGGGGCAGGCTGCGATGTACAGCACCTGGGACCCTCCTGCTGATGCCAGCCCATCCCTGCAGGTGCCATGTGCCGCTTGCTCTCGGGCAGCCAGGACAAACACTTCCTAAGTCTCCACATTAAGTCCTGCACTAGCGGTTCACCTCAAGGACACGGGGAACATGGGGCTCTGCCTGGACCCCGAGTGTGGTGCTGAAGACACTGAGAAACCGTCATCATCGCTGCCACTCAGTCCCCGCCCCCTTCCCCCCACACCCACCAGGCTCTGGCTGAGGTCTACACACACACTCACTGGAACCTCAAAAGGGAGCCTTGCTCCTGTTTTACAAATACACAGACAGGCTGGATCCCTCCCTGCTGATGCCCAGCGAATCCGCCAGATGGGAGAGGTGTATGAGGGTGGAGTTCTTCACTCTCGGGGATGCTCTAGGTCTGCTGTAGGTTTAGACAACAAATCCTCCAAAAATCTCCCTTCCAGATCCCTTTCAGACTCCCGGAGGCTTCCTAAGAGGCTCATCGCTCTGCTCTGAAGTCTAAACCCAAGCTCCCAGCTGCAGAGAAGTTTTTCTTCAGGGCATGAAGCGGCCCCCTGAGGGCTCAAGAGAGGGCAGGAAACTGGCAGAAGGACTCCCGAGGCCGGGGGTGGGGTCCAGCGGGCTTGGCTTTCAGGCTCCGCCCCCGGAGGTGGGGGTTGGGGACACAAAGTTGTCACAGACCCCATGCGGGGCTAGTGGGAAATGCAAAGGGGAGGAGAGCCATCCAGGGTTACCAGAGCTTCCCTCGACGCTTACCTCCCACCTCCCCAGCCTCACCTGTCCCCAAGGCTTACCCGCGCCGCGGGACCGAGGAGCGGAGTAACGCGCGCAACCGGCCAAGGCGCTGCGGGTCCAGTGTCCAGCCGGGCTCACAGTCCTCCCGCCGCGCTGTCCTCCTGGTTCCGCCCTCCCCCACTTCCTGTGCGGCCCGGCGGGAGGGGCGTCGCGCTCCAGCTCCGGCCAGGTGGGCGCACGGCGGGCTGGTAGGGCCCGGGACCACTCCAGTTGCGAGGCCTGGGCAGGTAGGGGCCGCTGGGACGGGCGGAGGCGGGGCGCGCCTGGGCACCTGCTTGCTGCACCTGCCCGCACCACCTGCGTCACTGGCCCCACCTGGGCAGGCCGGCGTCCACGTGACCGGCCGGGCCTGCTTGTACCTCCTGGTTCCAGGCGGGTCGCCTCTGCTGCCTGGTGTCCCGAGCCGCTCCGGCACCGCCCACCCCGCTGAGGCAGGGACCGGCCGGGCGTGGTCTGCCCGGGTTTGCCCGGGGCGGGGGAAGGGGGACGGCTTGCTGGGGGAGCAGAGCGGCTTGGTTTCCTTTATTCGTTTTCTTCGTCCCGGCCTGGCTCCATTGCCTTCTCCTCCAGGAAGCCTCCCAGGAAGAGCAGCCCTGAGGAGAACTTGATATTTGCTGCAGAGACCCCACCTTCTTGATTCTTTGAAGCTAGCGGCCTAAGGGCAACACAGGAGCCCACAAAGCTGCTCTCACCTCCCTGGCTGGTCATTACCATGGTTGCCATTTTACAGAGGAGAACACTGAGGCCCGGAAAGGAAGGTGCTCACCAGTGTGCACAAGAAGAAGCCAGGACTCCAAGCCTGGCCTGGCCTTGACCCTGAGCTCCTGTGTGTGAAGGGCATTGTCATGGGGGAGGGGGGTGTCCCCAAGGTAGTGGTTGCAGAACTGGGCGATTCAGGAACCAGGTTTTCTGGCGCTGTGGGAGGGGCCGGAGGCAGGGCTGGGTCTGCGGCTACCAGAACTTGGGCTAACTTGCAGGTCTGTAAGGCAGGGACCTTCCTTATCACCTGACTTTACTGGTGTCACTCACTATCCCTATCACTGCTTCCCAGCCCCCAGCCCAGGGTGGTACAAGCAGAGGCATCCTCACAGCATGTGGCTGTGAGGCTGCTCAAGAACTGCCTGGCGCTCCCAGTGGCCTTCTTCATCAAAGGACACAGCCTTGGTTTCTCTACAGAGACCACCCCGCTTGCCCA